AAGCAGAGCAGCACTTGGGGAAATTGAAATGTTAATGTTCCCAAGGCCCAGAGCCCATTCTAAAGAAATGTTAATGGAGCAGCTCCCAGCAAACAGCAAGGTGCTAATCAGTAGCGCCCCAGGTCCTTCCTGCCCAGATTACTCCAGTGGCCCAACTGCCCCTCACCTTTCAGGTCTTCCCACCTACATTCTGTCACTGCAAGATAACAGAACAAAGGACAGCAACAGCGACAAAATGCGGGAAAGGTGAAAGACCTTAACTATAAAAAGGGGAAGACATGGCCCTTCCACGGATTCCACCTCTTGGGTCCCCTTCTTCCTCCGGGGAGAAGTCTTTTCTGCTGTCTTAATAAAGCTTCTACTTTCCACCCTAAACTTGCCTCGGGGTGCTTCTCTGGTGTTATACTTCAGCATCAAGGAAGCAAAGACCGTCACCGGGAAACAGCGGTAACACTAGCTGGGCCCTCAAGTCCTGGGCTTCTAAGCAGGTGGAAAGGTGGTGGGGAAAAGGAGGAATGTGTTGGAAGTTCAAGAGCGAAAACCACTATATATTTTTAGATTTTGTCCCACATACACATTTGGCTTACAAAAACCTAAAGGGGGACGTCTTAAATAATAATCAAACATCACCAGACCTTTAAGTTAGGCAAAAGTGACACAAAATGAGATCTGTTGAAACAACGCACCACCAAAACGTTCTGCTTTTTCCCGGGAGGTGGGGGTGAGGGTCCCCGGTGGCCTAGAAGGACGGTGTCCAGAACCCGGGCTCGGCTACCCGCCAGGTGCGCCCACGAGCCTGCGCGCACCGGGCGCCTGCGCTACGCCGTGGGCGAGGACAGCACCCAGCTGGAGGGCCGCCGCGGGTTAACTGAGTCCGGTCGGTAACAGCATCCAGGGCGGCTCTCGGCTCCGAAGTGGCTGAGGGCGGTCTGTCCCGCAGCTCTGGCCTCATCCGTGCGTAAGAGCTCTGGGACCGGACCGGGCCGGCCGCGGAGGGCCCCAGCCGTGCGCCCGCAGCGTAAATCTAGCAGGTCGCCCCCGAACCTCAGCTCCCGAGACCGGAAAGTGGGACGGTGGCGTCCCCCGCGGCTTACCTGGGGCCAGGTGCCAGGGCTGGGTCCGCGCGCCCAAGGGAGGTGCACGCCAAGCCGCCGCTGCGCTTCTCCCAGCGCAGAAGGAGGGAGTCCCCACGACGCGCCAACCGGAAGGCAGAGACCAGGAACTGCAAGTTCCGGAGCGGGCAAGGGGCTGCTTCGGTGAGCCCCAGCCCGCAGGGGTCTCCGCGCGCACCCGCGGCCCAGCGCTTGGTACGTTCCTAGCGCCCGCGGCGGGCTCCAGTGCGCAGGCGCGGACCGCAGGACCGGAGAGTCTTAGGTACCAACCGGTTTAGTACGGTTTTGGAGAAAGCTTTTGTATGCCCTTATCTAATACAAACGTTGGAGTTCACTGTACCAGCTCCGGACCCCTCCAAGAGATCCCAGTCCACCCGATCCACTCCGCGGGCGCTGCAGGTGGAAGGCCACAAAAGATGATAGTGAGATGGGATTTAGGATAAAGAAAGGACCCTCCCACAAGCCATTGAGATGCAGAAAGCACAGTTGTAAATCTTGAGCCTGAGCAACTTGCCCTTGGCCCCTGCCCTTATAAAATGAGGGAAATATATAAGCAAATGATAAAAACTGCTGCAAAATTGTGTAGCTCCACCCTGCCTGCGTCTCTAGTCCAGCCCCTAGTAGGGCTCTCGGCCCCCTGTAGATATGAACACCCCACACCAACGGGTTGCTGTCCCTCCCTCTGGCCATGGCTAGCATTCTCCGTTGAGTGTGTATTCCATACTTTACCCCGAAGGTGTCTCTCTTTTGAGATTGCTCCCCATCCCCACTTCTCCCTTGAATATGTATCTACTTTCCTAAATAAACCTCTGCCTTTGCTTTTGACTGCAACGTACTGAAATTCTTTTCCATCCAGTATGGCGAAAACCCCGCTGGTCCAGAATTGAGTTCCCCTTTCTCTCTGCGAACTCCTCCAACCCTTCTCTGGAGACATCAGTTCCCCAGCAACAGTAAGAAGGAGCCACAAGTCGGCATGGTGAGGCCCCAAAGGCCTTGCAAACCGCATTGCCCAAGGCTCGAAAGAAAAGGCTGCATTCTGCGGTGGAACAGAGAATGGCCCTTTCCCTTGTGGGCGCCAAAGTTTACAACTTTTGCCTCACAGGCTATGTTAGCTCCTTTCCACCAGAGTCAGAAAAACTCCGAAGGCCTCCTCCTCCTGTCCCAAGCCAATCAACTCCAGGCTTGTGCAGTCCTCCACCTAGGACTTAAAACAGGGAGCTCTGGAACAAGAGTGTGTATACACTTTAGCTTTACCCTTTACCAAAGTTATTTGGAATCTCAACTGATCCTCTCCATGCCTCAAAGATGAAGCTGTTGTTTTTTTCCACTGTACAGATGAGGAAACCGGTACTCAGTTGCACAATAAGAGATATTAGCTGTTAAAGAAAAATTATCCAAACAACTGTTAAAGATGGCAAAAGATTCCTTTCTTTAAGAGGGCTCTGCGGTAGGAGAGTGCTCCTGTCTCAAGATCTTGAGTCGCCGGGATTGTAGGCATGTGCCACCTCGCCCTGCTGATCTGAATGCTGTTGCCCCTACCTGCCACCACACACACACACACACACACACACACACACACACACAGAGAATTCATCCATCAAGATCCTGACCAACAAGGTGACAGGTCTTTGGGAGGTGATTACATCTTGAAGGTGGAGGCCTCATGAACACACTTAGAGGCCCCAGAGAGCTGGTTTATCCCTGCTACCATGAGAAGATACAACAAGAGGTCACCCCCTTGAATCAGGACCTATGGACCAGGACACAGGCCTTCATCTGACACTAAAATTGCTGTCCCCTCAATCTGGGACTTCCCAACCTTCAAAACTGTGAGGACTTATTTTCTGTTGTTTACAAGCTACCCAGTTGATAGTATTTTGCTATAGCAACCAATGGACTAAGAAAAGTATATACTTGTATGTCTGATTTTCAGCTGGGCTCTACCACTAAGATACATCCCCAGCCCTTTTTTATTTTTGAGATAGGGTCTTGCTAAATTGCTGAGACTGGCCTCAAGCTTTCAATCCTCCTGCCTCAGCCTCCTGGTGTTCTCGATAATCATTTCTTCTTTTTTTAAATTTAATTTTTTTTTTTTAGTTGTAGTGGATACAATGCCTTTACTTTATTTATTTACATTTGTATGGTGCTGAGGATTGAACCCAATGCCTCGAATGTGCTAGGCAAGCGCTCTACTGCTGAGCCACAACCCCAGTCCCCTAATCATTTCTTTTTATTGGCAAGTAGAATTCAGTTATGTGCGGATAGCACAGTTTGTTTACCTATTCACCCCACTGATGATTTGGTTGTGTCCAGTTTTGGTCTATTGCAA